GCATCTGATGTATGGCCAGATATTGAATGTGGAAGTATTTTTAATATTGCATCGCTTGATATTGAAGCGCTGTCTGCAGCTAGTTTATCACGCGGCCATGCATAGTTCGGCTTCCGATAACTGTGTAATTAAATGATCTCGGCGGCATCAGATGGCGTTTAAGAGTAAGAGTTTATTAATTTAATACGTTAATATGCTTAAATATATTATTAAATCTTTGGCTAATTTGATCATAATATTACAATGAATGAAATTGTAGGAAGACCTTCACGTAAAGTCCAGGTGGAGGGAACTTACAAGACGTGCCAAATATTTTTTGTAATGGTACGATTTTGTGGAGGTTAAATTAATAACCTAATATAGACATTGGATAGCTATTACTTTCATAATACAAAGCTACAGAGTAGAAACGTGAACTAAGCGTAATATGTAATACGCATTTATTATATACACAATGTGTTGATTTCCATTCTCGTCATATTTACAAAGGTCATTCATTCTATATCCGAATCTGAACCCAAATCACTAAAAAAATAAATCGAAAAAATTTCTTTTGTTGTACCATTTTTTTAGACATGTGATTTCTTTCAGCATAGCATGCGTGAGTAGGCTATGTCAATGGCTTATTGTTTTATTGTTAAAATCGAGACTTTTTGTCAAATATAGTGAAAAGACAATATGTGTAGCGGACTGTATGAATATGGATCGGGTGCTAACCGTCATGGACACATATAACCAGACAAAAATTGTACCAAGAGAATTGTGACACATTAGATACGTACAAAAGTATGAACGCAACCTTAAGCAAAAACAATTTCATGAGAATAATAAATTATAAAAAGGCGCAAAAAACGCTACTGTTATTTTAAACCATTTCGAGGAAGGTTAAAAATATTATAAATACGAATGAACACAAAAAAATTTGTAGCGTCTGCTGCAGTTCGTGTACAATACGGTATATTTGTAATGTCAGATAATGCTGTAAAATTAATCGATTCTTGTAATAATACTATTTGATAAAACGAAATTATTAAGTAGGTACAGGGCGCACTATAAGTTTCCGGACTGGCCACTTACATAAACAATATTTAAAAAGTAATTACAACATTTGAAAATTCGAACTCTTTGGCTGTAGAATACAGTTTTTTTTCTGACTGTCACTTGTTTTTACATTGTGGCATCATTTTAGAAATTGGTTGTCTACATCACCATTGATTTAACCATGATTTAACGTGAACGTGAAAATTTTCGTAGTATGATTTTCTACGACTTTAAGTGTAATTTAACAGCTCAGCGGAGCTTCGCTCGGCTTCAAACTGCTTTTGGCGACGAAGCACCATGCAAGACGACTATTTATAGCTGGTTTGCAGAACTCAAACGCGGTCGTGTGAAAAACAGTGATAACGAATTTCGTGATGGTCGCCCGTCCACTTCTGCGAACAACAAAAATATTGATGCTGTCCGCCATATGAACAACAAAAAGGCATGTGACATACCATGAGATTGGGGCATCTTTAGGCATAGGCATGAGTCAAATACAATCAATACTACACAAACATTTGGGTGTGAAAAAGCTGTGCTCTCAGTGGATCTAACACAATTTGACTGAGGCTCAAGACACGGATCGCGTCACTTGGTGCAATGCCATTCTTACCAGATTCAACGAAGGGGCGTCAAATTTGGTGTGGGATATAGTAACAAGTGACGAAACATGGATTTATAGTTACGATGCCAAAACAAAGCAGCAATCGAGCGTATGGGTTTTTCGAGATGAGCCGAAACCAACCAAAGTGGCGCGTGTACAAAGTGCCACTAAGCGGATAATTGCTTCTATTTTTAATAAAATTGGACACGTGGTTACTGTTGCTTTGGAGAATCGTTGTATCGTGAATAGTGATTGGTACACAACCATTTGTTTGCCGAAAGTTATTGACAAACTCCGTAAAAATAACTGTAAACGTCGTACCTTACGTCATCACGTAAGGTCACATAAGGTCAACGTTTATCTTTTACAACTAAGTTACATCTTTATACTTATACATTTTACAGTGAAAATAGAGTGGACTTTGGTAATCGCCACCCGTTGCACCTATTACTCAGGCAGTAACAAGTAATTCTAAACTAACTTACCACGCAATTGTAAAACAAAACATCGTTTTGAGCAACAACAACAACTGCCCACACGTGCTATTCATTAGCGTGAAGTTCATAGTGTTGAGATCGGGATTCTTCAATGTAACTTCCGACTCATTGTGGTCCAAATAAGCTCTGCACAATTTAGAACTATGTTTCGGATTACTATCTTGTTGAAAAATGAATCCATTGCATTGCTAGTTTCTGCCCGGAAGGAATTATATTATCCTCTAGGATCACTTTATACTGCTCTTTTTCAAATAATCCTTCGATTCGCATCAAATCTCCGGTTGCATTGCTCGAGAAATAACCTCAGTCATATCGTAACTGCATGGCACAATACTATCTGGTACCTAATATTTTTTCTTCGACACTATGTCGAACGCAAATTCTTCTTTTTGAACCAAATATTTCCAATTTCGATTCATCAGTCTAAAGATTAAAAGCTTCCTATGTCAAATCACGATGAATAACAGTCCATTGCATCCGTTTTTTTTTTGTTTTGTAGTTTTAACAAGGGTTTTCGGGCTTCACAGTCATGCGACAGAACAATTAAGCGTTTCTCATTCGTCTTTTCACTGTAGTCAGTGCTACAGGTTTCAGAATTGAGAATTGTTTACTTCGGCGCGTATTTTTGGCGTTATTAAGCGTCTATTTCGCTTTGCTGGTTACAACTCTAAAATTGTCCTCACTAGAAGTGGTAGCTCTCGGCCTTCGACGAATGACGTCGATTTCGATTACTGACAGTTTCTTTGATTCGGTAATTGTTTCACGAACACAAGTCTTCGATAATTTAAGTTGAGAAGCAATCATACTTTCGGTTTTGCCTTCATTGTATAAAACAATAATAGCAGATCGCGGTTCCTATTTTCAATAAGCCTTGACTGAAGAAACCACAAGGGGAGACTAAGTAAAATTGTCCGTGAACAACTTTATAAATAATGGAGTATTCTATAGAAAACATCTGTTTTAGGAAGTAAACATTCATAAATTTTAGTCAGTGTTAAATAAACCCATAATAATTAGAATCAAGAGGTTCTTAATAATATGACAATGTAGAGTCATTGTTGGCTTTCCTTGATGTTAAGAAACAAGGCGTTTTTATAGCATATTTACGTGATGATTATGTAAAATAATAGCTTTTTAGATATTTCTTAATTATAGCAGAACATGCAGGTGTGCAAAAATAACATACGTTTGGACAAGTGATCTTAAACTTTTAGCCTGCAGTTTGCACAGTAAACCTATAAATAAATTTATATTTCTTTGCTTTTCTTAAAAGGGATTAAGTCCCAAATATTTCTCAGCAGGTATGGGTTCTAGAAATCGAATGTCAGAAGACAAAGCATAAATGAAAATTTTGATACAATGCACTTCAGCGTATTCGTGACCTTGGTTATCACTGTGTGTGTTATCATTGTACGTATTGATTAAGGACTAAGAGGATTATATACTCATCAAACATATTGTATATCTCTTCCTGTGTCTAGCCGCAATAGCAACCTTTAAACGTAATAACTGAAATAGAGAAGGGAATAGTAATATTGCGCTTGTGAACTCAATGTGTAGTGACGTAGAAACACATAATATATTTTTATTTAAATATTATATTTTTATTTAAATATTTTATTTTTATTGAGTAGGACGTATATTTTCATTAAAGAACCGAAGTAGTAATCTAAATAAGTGCATGACCTCTTGCTTATATTTGAATATTTTTTTTATTGATTGTTGATGATGATTTTATTTGAATTTGTCGATAAAATTATATACACTTATATTTACTGCGTTAAGCAGTAAGCAACGAGATTTTTCTGAAACGCGTGACGCGGTGCCTTCAGCATTTCGAATAAATAAACATTCCTGTTTTCACTCAGGAATTCTCCGTAGTTTCTTTTTCCTTAAGCAGAGCAGTCGGAAGCTTTTGACGTCATTTTATCTGATTGCTTTTCATCGTAGTTGCTTTACTTACTCTTACTTATCTGTTTATTTACTAGTAATATCCCAGAAACGATAAAAAAACTACCTTGGTGTTATTTTCGAATTAAATTACAGTTTTTTTAACATTCTGGAAATCTTGACTTGGCATTTCATCAGCTAAAAGTCGTCCATATACGCAGAGTATACGCGTTAACAAACAATAGCTGCCTTTACCTTTCACCGAGTAATTTCACTATGCGACTTACAGCTAGTGGTTATTGATTGAGACTCTTCATTCACCATCAGTTGTCATGCGAATCAAAAACCCTTCAACTTGCTTATTACGTGAAAATTATTTATTTGATTCCAATATTACGTGATCGACACGACGATCATAGTCCTCTCTATTTCCTTTTGACTGATGCACATGTGAACAGCTAACCATTAGAGACGATGTTTTAGTACCGGTATACTTGTAAAATATTGTCTAGTATCAAGCCTGGGTAAAAGCATAGTATAATAAAGCAAGTGTGACTCGATACAAACGTAGCATCGCGTCTTGTGCGTGTGCCCACGCACAGATTTGCATAACCTCGCGGTACGGTCACGTTGCGTAGAATTGAAATGTACGCTCGGTGTTAAAAGAATGACATCAAATAGTAGACATTTTCCTTGTTTTGTTTATGGTGTTTTGAACTAGAGTGACTCAAATTTAGAATTGTTCAGTATTTAATTTCTATTTCAATATCAAATTCGCGATCTCTTTAGCATCGCGAGTCTTTTTATGCCAGCATTGGTGTGTGTGTGTCTGTGTGTGTGCGTGCGTGCGCGTGTGTATGTGTGTGTTTGCGTAAGTGTGTTGTGTTTGTGATGTGTTATATTATATTAAAAGTATATCTGTAGCGGATTTAACACTGTACGAAGTAAAATGTAAAGTAAGTACTTACTCCTCAGGTAGACTTGCAGCGCCTTCCTCCTGTCCGGGCGCGTTCACGTGGTACACACAGAAGTTTTCCATCAACGCCCGCATGTCCACGAAGTTGAAGAACGGTTGGAAGCATACATCTGCGAATAATTAAACATAATGAGTTCTATTATAATAAAATTGTTAATTGTATAAACGCCATTTTAAATCAATTTCTGGAACATTACGTAGTCATATTTTTGGAAAAAAATTATTTTCCTTGAACATTAAAATCAGGCATTAGTAAGAACGTCCGTAAGTGTTTGAAAATCAAGTTAGCGCATACGTCGAAGTAAAAAAACTATGAGGCAACTTTCGCAATGCAGCATTCGCGAGGTCGTGTGCATAGGTTATTTCGCTTTGCGGCTTCACCTCAAATAAGAAATTAATAATAGGTATGCTGATTGAAATATATATGCATATTAAAATGTCCATTCTACACTTGACGTCTTATGGGAGATTCAACACATAACAATTCCGTGTGGCCATGTTAATTTAGCATTACTAATTTGATCGGTAATTAAGATAGAAAATGTTTGGTAAGGTTTTTTTATTTTATTTTTAATTTTGAATGTAAATACGCAAATTTCCGTATATCATTTAAAAAAAATGCAATGTAATGTAAAAAACATGATGTAATAATAGTGTATTGTCCACTTTCGGAATAGTCGCGTTGCGTTTTAAAGCACAAAATATTAATACACCATTTTGTAATGCATTCAACAAAATGCCATACATTTACTTTAAAATACTAAAATACTTTTAATTACATTCTCAAACTATGCCTTCCATTAAAAAAATTCAGGTCAGTCAATATGTATCGATTATTATGTACCAAGTATATTGTGCATAATGTGAATAAAGAAAGTAGTATTTTTAAGTATTGAATACTGAAGGGACATTAAGGACAAAGACAATATAAACGCTATCTATGTTTCCGCTGCGGCCTGAAAACAATCAACTATATAATCGCAGTACAGAGTACCAAACAAACCGACCTCAAAAGTACGTGGAATTACATCTATTTACCAAATTTTTTTGAAATCGGTTACCGGAAAGTGCGCAAACCCGGATTCATCCCCTAGTTCGCCACTATACGGAACTTGACACAGGAGATGATAAAAATCGGTTGTCGCTATTCAAAGTATATTGAGAGAGAAAAACGCCTTGAATTAGAGAATATCAAAATCAACCAATAAAATAATTGCTCCTTATAATAAAATTTAAGAGCTATTTATAAAAATGTATCTTCATGCCTGAACAGTCACTGTTAGAGGTGAATGGTTTTCTTCAAAATTAAATGGAACCACTATGGAGGATATAAACACTCTTTCCAACAAAAAAGAATTATGAAAATCGGTGCACAAATACCGGAGTAATCGCGTAACATACATACAAAAAAAACATACAGTCGAATGAGAACCACTTCCTTTTTTGAAGTCGGTTGAAAAAATAATAACGATCATAGTACACGTAAAATTATTATGGTAATGTACGATATTTTCCAATGCTATATATTTTCCGAAATGTTAAACAACCGCAAAAGAACATTTATGTATTTTGATGCAATGTTAGGAATAAAGAAATAACATTTTTTTAGTTTTCGACTCCTGAACCAATGAAATTAACAGCAAAATGCAACGAATTTTTGGCAGTTCTAAGAATTTTGCGAAATAAGCCAACCTATAATAACAATTCGCGCGTAAAAAAATTTGAACACGCCAACATCAGGCGGCCATATAAAAGATTATCCAACCATTTTCACATATTACACTTTTACTGCTCGCCTTGCGGAGGAATCTTTCCGGGTAGCGAAATAAAACGTCTATCACCAGAAGATTTTATAGCTTCAATATGAAAAATTTTACGCATGTTAACTTTTACTAAGTAATGTGAACGAAATCGCGCAAACCATCCATCAATTTAGTAGTGGACAGAAAATCAAAATTGTTACGTTCAACGAGAAACGGTCAATATGGCCACGAAGCGTAAAGGGTATTTCTATTATATTTTACATAGAGGCGTGGGAATATTAGAGAAATAATGTAAGACTCAAAGAGACGAGAAACGAAACGAGATGGAAACTTTTTTATTCATTCGCTGTGGATGGTTTTATAACAATATTTAGTAACGCCTATTAAGAAAACACACAAACCTCCAAGAGACATGTTCAAAACCCGCCCCAGGTTGTTTATAAATTACTCTCAAACAAAACCTCCTAGACGCAAATAACAACTTCCGCGTAATGACCCTAGTACTGTGTAGAAAACTTACTTCACAATTCAATTTCCTCTCATTAGATCTAAACTGTCAATTTCTCCCTCTTGTATTCACATCAACCCTTTGTTCTGGCTCCCTTAACTATTTAAGTCTATGAGCATAAAAAAAGTAGTAGATTTTAGTAATTTTGTATGAAAAACGTTTTATTCGATTTGACCAACTTTTACAGTCCCTATTTTTTTCTACCAATACAATGCAATAATCCTTATATGAAACCGAGTCGATCAGTACTAAAAAATTAATCAATTTCATTCGTTTAACCATAAGGTCAACTCGTACTTGATCAAAAAATTTTACAATGACAAAGTTGTTGTCACAAAAAATACTTAAAGATTCCGAAAACAGCATTCCTGTAACTTCTATAGTTTCGGGTTTCCTCATACCGTCTCAAAAAAAAACATACTGTAAGTATATTAATCACTGTTCCACGACATAAGTGGAAACTGGATTTGATTTACGTATACGACGATGAAATAATATTTATGAATGAATGCATGCTTTTTTATTTACCACAAACACCCAGACCCAAAACAATAAAAGTTAGTTTCAACATTGACCCGGCCGGGAATCGAACCCGGGACCTCTGAGTTGGCGACGCCATGACAACCGGTGTGCAAGTCACTTGACCACGGAGATTGTCAAGATTTAAAATACTCATAATTTCTTGAAGAATCTTGTCCTGAAATGCCTACACCATAACTTCTATCACAACACATAATTATATATAAATAAGACAAGCAATTTACTACGTCATTTTCGTGTACACAGAAATCACAAAGTTGAATTCCACGGAAAGTTACGATTGACTTTTCTTTCAACACTTTTCTTGGTCTACATCAACCAGTTATGTGATATAAGTCTTCCTAATTGTAAAATTTTTACCTATGCCGACGACACTGCTGTAATTATCCACGGCTCGAATTGGACAGACATAAAGTCAATAGCAGAGAATAACCTGATCATTATCAATCAATGGCTGACACAAAATCTACTGACTTTAAACCTTTCCAAAACAAATTTTATCCCCTTCTCTATACGAAATAACACTCAACCTCTGCCAAATTATAACTTGTATGTTCACTCAAACTGCAACCTTAACAATTACTGTAATTGCACCCCTATATCCCAAACCCCTAATGTAAAATATCTTGGTGTCCACATTGATAAAAATTTAAATTGGTCTCTTCAAATCGACAAGCTTTCCATGAGAGTTAGGCGCCTTATACACATATTCAAAACACTTAGACAGTCCGCTGATACAAGTACATTAAATATGGTATACTCTGCTCTTTGCGAATCAATCCTTACCTATTGTGTGCCGGCCTGGGGCTGTGCTGCAAAAACTACCTTTATCAAAGTTGAGAGAGCACAGAGAGCTGTTCTCAAAGTTATGTATTCCAAACATCTCAGATTTCCTACAAATGAATTATATTCGCTATCTAGAGTTCTGACTGTCAGGCAGCTCTTTGTGCTCCGCACAATCCTACGTAAGCACCTCCTGGTACCCTTGCCGGACCCTTCGAAAAGGAAAACTCGCAAGGTCTGCCCTGTTCCTCGGCATAAAACTAAGTTTTCAACTCGACAATATCATATATCTAGTTCCATCCTTTACAACTGTGTAAATAATCTTTTGAACATCCACAGTTTAAACAAATTTGAGGTTAAAAAAAGATTGGTAAATTGGCTTTTAAATCAGAACTACGACGACACAGAAAATCTTCTCGCAACCGGCTCCTAACACACACTCATTCTCTCACGCACACACACACACACACACACACACACACACACACACACCCACACACACACCCACACACACACACACACACACACACACACACACACACACACACACCCACACCCACACCCACACACCCACACACACACACCCACACACACACACACCCACACCCACACACACACACCCACACACACACCCACCCACACACACACCCACACACACACACACACACACACACACACACACCCACCCACACACACACACCCACACACACACCCACACACACACCCACACACACACACACACCCACACACACACACCCACACACACACACCCACAC